TTTGGCACGCCTACACACAAGACTTCGCATATGAACCGTTTCGACGGTAATAGAAAGAATTTTGGAATACCTTAAAGGCAGCATGATTTTAGAGAAAACTAATCGGAACTTTGTTTGCATACAAAAGCATAAAAAAAAAAAAAAAGAAAGTTTGCCCCAATCAGTTTACTAAGCAAACGTAAGAAAATTATTGGAGTTCCAATAGTTTATTCCAAACATAAAAATCAGGTTTCTTTAAGGTATTTACTTTAGGTTCAAAAGAGGGTGTGTTGCATTCGCGTAAATTGATAGAAAATACCTTCACTTAAGAAGGCCTACCTGACTTATCTTCTGGGATAATTTAATCGCATGATCTTTATTTTCTACAAAAAATAAATAATAATAATCAACCCAGCCTAATGTGCCTATGCAGATCTTTTACACAAATGAGAATGAAAGTCCCTACCAGAACAGGTTATCCAGACTACCATTAACATTTTTGTTTTTCAAATCCTAAACGCAAACACAAATTATTACGAAGATTTACAATAAACAAACGTAGGAAGAGTTTAGAAACTTTAAATTCTGATTTTTACTAGGATAGCTACCCAGTTTGTTCTGGTAAAGTTATTCCATTCAACAAACTATTCAGTGCTACATAAACATTAAACAAACAAATAAATATTAAAGCCCACAATCATATGTGAACTATTAATAAATGGAGTCACTTACCCTAACCCGTTCGACGTTGGTTGACTTGGGGGAGAGAAAATTCACTACCGCGCAGGCAACGATATCGATAAAGAAACAATAATAAAGCGATGCTGGCCATTCCTCTCTGGTTTAGTTAAAATACAGATGATTGTTGTTTTTGCGCAACGCTGCCGCAGTACTGCACGCACGAACTGACAGTCTGTCAATGATCTAGTTTTGTTTCTGACCATTCGAGTAAAACTCGCATAATTTGTGAGCGCCACGGTATATCGTTGTGATCAGTGAGAAACAAGGCGGGACGACTCCTGACTTAGATCGACGATCTCACGTACTGCTTCATGGTGCTCTGTCTGCAGAATTTCGGCACATTATAGGTGACATGGCCATGGTGTCTTGTTTGCCGCTTTGCCTGCCGTTTCCACACACACTCTAAACCGTTGCCTTGTTGCTTTGCTTCACCGCTTTGTAACACCGACGATTTAATTTGATTAAATGTTTAGAGAATAAACAAGTTGGCGTGAGATTTCTGATTCAGATGACGAATCGGAACGGATGCCAACTAGCAGTTAGATAAACGATTTGCAGCAGTTGAATGTGCAGACAATCGATTCCTCTTCTGCTGAAAAAGGTTGTTGACGGTTGCCGTGGCACCGGCCCTGGCAGCATCTGAAAAAAAAAACGTTCGGATAGTAGAAACGCAAAATTCAACATATTTTTATGTCCTCGACTCGTCCCACAACTCGCGCACATCTATCCTTAGAAGAAATTGCTTCCAACTTGATGGCCGTCTTTAGAGGTTTTATGAATGTACAAAATTGATTATTATTCTATACATGCGAAGTTGGAACGAATTTAATTCACCGCTGGGAGATGACGGAGACATGAAAACCATGAAGTTAATAATATTATCAATTCGCCCGCAATCGGTAACTTCACATATCAGGAGTCGATTGTCTCAACCTTCATAAGCACTCTCATAAGCGCATAGCGTACCCATCCTTCAGGTCAACTGGGTTTTGACTAACTGATTTGATTGATTTGCTAATAGGGGTTCCAATGAATGGTGTGTGTTGTAGGTTTGCGCGCGGGAGATAAGATAATGACAGAAATTCTAATGTATTTAATCACATTACCGATCCTCTTCCACACACACATACACATTCAACCCAAACACCGTGAGGGTATTCATACCAAAATTTGCTACAACACTACATTTATAAAGTCAATTTTCGCTTCACTTGTGCTACTCTCTGACAAGTATTACGTTCGTTCTATAATCTAATCTGATTACCGAATAAAATTGCGTTAGTTGTACGGCTATTAAAAGTTTACTTTGTCATCTTACTTTCTACCGCCTCGCTGCAATCCTGCCAGCCTACCACCAACCGTCTTCACTGCAGTTTTTACTGCTCCATTTTGTAGCTCACCGTCGACACCTTTCGGCGTATTATCGAATGTTGAGCTACGTATCAGCGTTTGCTTCTTTTGCATTTGTTGTTGCTGCTGCGTCGTTCGTTGACCCACTGTAGTCTTGGGCGCACTTAGTGCCGGCGACGACTTCGTTTGCTGCGACTTCAGTTTACTCACCACTGCAGCAGAGCCACGTGCTGCGCTGACGCGCGGCGCCTTCTGCTGGTCTTGCCGTATGCTTTTTGCGTCATTTACGCGCTTCCAAATATTGGCGATGCGACTTTGCGCTTGATTGATTTTTGCCACTGCATTTTTTGTAGCATGCGCTGCAGCTGTTGTGGCGGTATCACGGCTGTTGAGATTTGAATTGCTGCGCGTAGGAAGCGTCGTTGCCGATACGCGTGTAATGCGCGCTGCGCTGCTGGTGACACGTATGGCCGCATTGCTGTTGGAGCGCTGGGGCATGGCGCCGCTTGTAACTGCACTAGCTGTTGCGATTACTTTACGGTGTTTTGGTGAGCCTGATTTCGCAGCAATCGGTATTTTACGGCTGCTGGCTGCCGGGGTTGATTTTGAAGTAGTCACGGGGGCGGTACACTTTGTTGGCAGCTTTGAACTGCGTTGCGGGCTGCCGCCAGTTGTAATTGTAGTGGTTGCAGTTGACGGTAAAGTCGCTTTCACATCTGACACAACAACTGGAACTTGGCACGTTGCAATCGTCGGTTCGTCCTGCACAAATGTGCCTTGTCGTTCGATGTGACGCTGCCGCCTGTTGTATTGTTGTATCCTTCGCGCTACCGCTATTGTGGGTCTGCAATTTCTTCGGCGTTGTTAACCGCGTTCCAGTTGCATCGGAAGTATTTACATTGGTGTCGCGTTTGCGGCACGCATTTGGCGCGCTGTTGCGGTTGGAGTCAAAGTTTTATGGTGGCAACACGCGTTTGTGGCGACATGTTGCGTTGATATTGTATGCTATAGGGTGAAATGTAAGCTGGTTTTTACGACCACGCACCGCTTTCTGCTTATCATCTGGCACATCTTCGGTCCCAGCTAGCTCAATTGGATTGGCAATACGTGCGCGTGCCAGCGGCTTAGCCACCGACTGCTCCTCCGATTCACTATCATCAGAAGTGTACTCCTCGCTCTGGTCATCATAATTTTCAGCGATGCCATATGTTCATGTTGGTCATGACAAGACTCGGTTTCGGAATTTTGATCGCATTCAATACTGTACAATCACCACCATCTGGAGCACCTCTCACCTCTGCCGCTTCTGATTCTGTCGCGCCGTTGGATGTGCTAATAGGCATATTTATGAATTTAAACTTTTGCGTTTTGCGCGTAGTGAAGAAATATTTTCCGAGGGGCTGTCGTCGGTGGAAGTTAGAGAATACGGTCCGGCCGATTCTTCCGCGATGCGACGAATTCCCCATCCATCCTTCAGGTCAACTGGGTTTTGACGTGCAAGGATGGGGTGCTTAATTGCGTGAATGGTATCCGTGACATATTTCTAACGGAAGCTGAAAGTAGAAGGTGAAAAATATTCAATTAAAATATTGTTGACAAAAATACACTACTTACCGTCTCGTGTCATTCAGGAAATGCTTGACTTAGGCTGCAATTCGATGAATGAAATGTCAACAATGATCGTAAATTTACGCTATGTGAAAGCAACACCGCCTCAGTGTGGCACAGGGTATCACAAAAAAAAAAAAAAATAAATAAATAAAAATAAAAAAAAATCAAGACTCCTCCACTTCAACAACCACGACTGAAAACGGAAAGGTCGCGCTATATGCAAAGTAAAGTTTATTTTATAAAAAGCATGATTGTTGTATTTTATTCGGAAAACCTCAATTCGAGCTCATCC